CCAAAATCTCTGTAGATGTTCATTGAAATGAAAAATAAACAAACTAAATTTAAAAAAATATATTTAAAAAAATAAATGAAAAAAGAAAGAGAAGCAGAATCTGTTGCTTTCTGGTGTTTTGTGAATGCCAGATAAATGTGAACAAGGAACTGGGCAGGAGAGACATCCCTAGACTCGCATAACCTCGCTGTTAGAGAAGGCTGTTTGGACAGAAAAATATTCTCAGTGGTAGTGTTTAGGTCAATTAAAAAGAGTGATTTCATTACTAGCATAGTCACTGTTGATTGGTATTTGATTCTTGTTGGATGAAAAGGCACCATCTCAGAGGGAGTTTAATAGAACAGTGTAGTGTTTATTCCTCCTTTCTTTATAATAAATCGTTCACCTTAGTGGTAGAGCTGGCGGGAGACCCATTAATAATGCAGCTTGCAGTCTTTGTGGCATGAACATGCTAAGATTCCATCATAAAACCACCATCTCCAGCGGTTTTTTTAAAGCCACTTTTGGCTTATTTGAAGATTTGAAATTCACAGTATTGTCTCCTTAGTTTCTAGCAGATGACAGTTTTGGTTGGTTAATATTGTTAGGTGCCACCAAGTCCACTTGACTCATATTGGCCCTCTGTAGAATGGAGCCGAACTGTGGCTGTCCTGTGCCATCCTGACAATTTCTGTTGTGCTTGGGCCCATTGTTTCAGTCACTCTGTCGATCCATCTTGTTGAGGGTCTTCCTCTCCTTCACTGACCTGCTTTTCCAAGCGTGATGTCCTTCTCTGGGTACTGACCCCTTCTGAAAATATGCACAAAATGTGTTATACAAAACCATCTTTGCCTCCAAAGGGCACCGTGGCTATACTTCTCATAATTATAGATATATTTATTCTTTGGGCAGTCCATACTCAGTACTCTTAGCCAACACTGCAATTGAAAGACACCAGTTTTCTTTGGACTTCCTTGTTCATTATACAACTTTTACATACATAGAAAGCAATTGAAAATGCCATGGACTGGATCCCAGGCACCTTAGTCTTTATACTGTTATCCTTGCTCTTTCACATTCTAAAGAGATTCTTGGCAATAGATTTTCCCACTGCAATACATCTATTGATTTCTTGACTGCTGCTGCCATGCGTATTGATTGTGATTCAAGTAAAATGCAGTGCTTGCCTACATCTATCTTTTCTCCATCTGTCTTAATGTTGTCTACTGGTCCAGTTGTGGGTTCTT